AACCTGCCCGCTTGACCCTATCCCCTCCTCTCTTCTCCAGACCATTTCCGGAGACCTTCTCCCTTACCTCACCTCGCTCATCAACTCATCCTTGACCGCTGGCTATGTCCCTTCCGTCTTCAAGAGAGCGAGAGTTGCACCCCTTCTCAAAAAACCTACACTCGATCCCTCCGATGTCAACAACTAGAGACCAGTATCCCTTCTATCTTTTCTCTTCAAAACTCTTGAGCGTGCCGTCTTTAGCCAACTCTCTTTGCATCTCTCTCAGAATGACCTTCTTGATCCAAACCAGTCAGGTTTCAAGACTGGTCATTCAACTGAGACTGCTCTTCTCTGTGTCACGGAGGCTCTCCGCACTGCTAAAGCTAACTCTCTCTCTCCTCTGCTCTCGTCTTTCTAGACCTATCTGCTTCATTTGATACTGTGAACCATCAGATCCTCCTCTCCACCCTCTCCGAGTTGGGCATCTCCGGCGCGGCTCACTCTTGGATTGCGTCCTACCTGACAGGTCGCTCCTACCAGGTGGCGTGGCGAGAATCTGTCTCCGCACCATGTGCTCTCACCACTGGTGTACCCCAGGGCTCAGTTCTAGGCCCTCTCCTATTCTCGCTATACACCAAGTCACTTGGCTCTGTCATATCCTCACATGGCCACTCCTATCATTGCTACGCAGACGACACACAATTAATCTTCTCCTTTCCCCCTTCTGATAACCAGGTGGTGAATCGCATCTCTGCATGTCTGGCAGACATATCAGTGTGGATGACGGATCACCACCTCAAGCTGAACCTCGACAAGACGGAGCTGCTCTTCCTCCCGGGGAAGGACTGCCTGTTCCATGATCTCGCCATCACGGTTGACAACTCTGTTGTGTCCTCCTCCCAGAGTAGGTTCATGCTCTACAACATTTGCAGAGTACGACCCTGCCTTAAACAGGAAGTGGCACAGGTCCTAATCCAGGCACTTGTCATCTCCCGTCTGGATTACTGCAACTCACTGTTGGCTGGGCTCCCTGCCTGTGCCATTAAACCCCTACAACTCATCCAGAACGCTGCAGCCCGTCTGGTGTTCAACCTTCCCAAGTTCTCTCACGTCACCCCGCTCCTCCGCACACTCCACTGGCTTCCAGTTGAAGCTCGCATCTGCTACAAGACCATGGTGCTTGCCTACGGAACTGTGAGGGGGACGGCACCTCCGTACCTTCAGGCTCTGATCAGTCCCTACACCCAAACGAGGGCATTGCGTTCATCCACCTCTGGCCTGCTGGCCCCCCTACCTCTGCGGAAGCACAGTTCCCGCTCAGCCCAGTCAAAACTGTTCGCTGCTCTGGCACCCCAATGGTGGAACAAGTTCCCTCACGGCGCCAGGACAGCGGAGTCACTCACCACCTTCCGGAGACACTTGAAACCCCACCTCTTTAAGGAATACCTGGGATAGGATAAAGTAATCCTTCTACCCCCCCTTACCTCACCCCGAAGAAAAAAAAAAATATTGTAAAGTGGTTGTCCCACTGGCTATCATAAGGTGAATGCACCAATTTGTAAGTCGCTCTGGATAAGAGCGTCTGATAAATGACAAAAATGTAAATGTTAAATTTTTTAACTATATATAGCTCTGGCCCACGCGCATACGTCGATTCTGCACTAAGAGATGCATGCATGCACATCCAAGCATGCGCGTGGACCCAAGCTAGTCTGGCGTCCTCAGAAGGGTCATGTCTCGAAGGGATGCAGCTAATGTCAAAGTGACGTCAGGGAGAATTTTAGCTAACCTTAACCTCATTTTCCTAACCTGCTACGAAAAGTCACTTCAGACATTAGCTGCATCCCATCTAGTCAAAACCCCTTAGAAGTAGTTAATTTCGTATTTTGGAAAAAGGACACCCTGCGCGTAGAGAAAAATTCTCTGCACTATAGAAACTTCTTCACTTTGGTGATTTAATACCGTGTAGGTCGTTGGTAGAGCATGGCGATTGCAACGCCAGGGTTGTGGGTTCGTTTTCCCACGGGGACCAGTATGAAAAAAATAAAAAAATAAAAATGTATGCACTCATACTGTAAGTCGCTCTGGATAAGAGCGTCTGCTAAATGACTAAAATGTAAATTCAATGTAGCCAGTCACTCAACAAAATTGATTCTCTATGAAAGAATCAATGGAACATTATTGTTGCCGCGCAATGGAACCAGAGCAAGCTAAAGTTAGCTAACAGTTAGCTAGCAAGCAAGCAGAATAGCCAGAGAAACGTACCTTTCCTTGAAAAGGCATGTTGGCAAATAGCTACATGCCGTTTTGTGTGAGTGGTTATGACATGAAAGGTCTAGTCATACTTCAATATTGTGAGATAGGACAGTTTAGCCAGTAGGACTATATGAAATAGTGCTGAGCGATTAGTGCTTTTTGAGGTCGGTTCGGTTTCGGTTAGTTTATTCATATTTTTTAATTTTTTTTAAGGATTTCGGTTTCGATTATTTGAGTAAAATGCTGTAACACAGAATAAAACAATTATTAAAAGTCCCATGGTGGTAGTGACTGCCCATTACTGCTTATTACTTATTAACCATAATTTATTTGGGGATACCTCGCGATCGCGCATTCTTCTGCCTCTTCCGTAGCAGGCATAAAATAAACACACACCGACAAGTAGATGCGCAATGGATTAAGGTCATTGTAGTTATTTACCACGCTTTATGCGCTAAACTATGTACAATATTGGCCTGTTGGAAACTACAACTCCCTACTATATCGCACAGTTCATTCGGGATCTGATTTATCTCTAGAGAAACCAAATATTTTTTATAACTAAACCAAGATAGACCACAGCTTGTCGTTTCCAATGGGATCAATTAGTCATTGTGGGCAGAACAAGCAAGGAGGCGGGCAGAGCCAAGCACGCGTTAGCGATATCCCATTGGCGCGTTCTAGTTGTGCACTCAAATCGCCTTTGCACTCCTAAACAGCGCGATTTTTAAAAACTTTTGCAAAGGGTAAAGTCTACACTCTGTTCATAACAATTTCTAGTTTAGGGAACAGAAAACTGTATTGAAATGAAATGTTTAATCGATGAAAGAATTTGCAGAATGTCGGCCAAAATCCATCTCGTTCCATCTTCTCCCACTGCCCGCCAGTAGGCTTCCTCTCACTAGCATATTTGGTAGTGAGTGGAAATGGCAAACGGATGCTTCACATTTATACATCCAGTGAAATATCTGTCTCATTGTTCTATCTGTGGCGAAACTGTGCAATATGCGCATTAAGCTCACAGTAAAAAAACGAACAAAACGGAATTCAAATAATTGAACCGACATCGGTCAATTAGTTGTTTAAAAACCGAAAAATAACTGACATTTCGGTTAATCGCCCAGCACTAATATGAAATGACCAGCTGACTGTCCACAACGTTTCTTCTTGGTGCACCGCTTTCAGGAAGTGGTTAAATGTTCTAAGGTCCCATCAAAGATATTTATAACTAACCCAAGATAGTTAATCTGTGTCGTTTACAGTGGGAGCAAATGAAGCATAGTGGGCAGAACAAGAAAGGCAAGTTAGCGAGAGCCTATTGGCGCGTTGTAGCGCATATTTGCATATTTCCGTTAGGGAACGCCTACCCCGTGAAGTGCGCGGGTGTGTAAACTCAATTCGACCTTGCGCTCCTTCTAAACAACACTCTTTTTTTTTTACTTTGGCAAAGCGTCAAGTCTATAAAACTTAGTGCACTGTGCTCTGAACAGAAACATTTATTGAGATCAGATGTTTCATCGATGAGATAATTCGCAGACTTCCTCTCATCACCACGTTTGGTTGTGAAAAAACGTTCTAAACGGATGCATCAGTTTTATAGCCCCTGTGACTTGTCTGAGTTACCCCTTCTGTCTGTGGTCCCACAGCCATGAAGTCATAAACCCTGGTAATTATCCAATTTCTCTTTTTAAAATCTGATTTTAAACCTAACCTTAAACAGACTGCTAACCTTATGCCTAACCTTGAATGAAGACCAAAAAGCACATTTTTGTTTTCATTAATTTTTATGAAATAGATATTGACTTATTGTGTTTGTGGTAACTAGTGACAAACAAGTATTAAGGCTTCTGGGAAAAGTAGTACTATAGGTTTGTGACGCACCTTGTACTCCAGTCATTTGCTTGTAGTACAGTCCTTCCATTCATTAAGTAGAAAATGCTGGCAGCAGTTTGACTCTGAAAAACTCTTATTTGTTGATTTATTGATGTTGAATTACTTAGTAGGTAAATAGCAAGAGGCTATTTATCTACCACTTGTCAGGACTCTGAGTTTGCAGCAGAGAACTTGGTTATAAACTGACAAATGTTAGAGGATTCATTGAGGAAATGTCATTTTAATGACTTCAGTTAACTTTACAGTGCCCTACTTTTACTGCAACACAATAGGAACAGAAGCACTAGACAAAGTGTACTCTTTTGGTGCAAAGCAAACCCAAATGGAGTCGGTTCCTTCAGTAAACACACATCAAACAATAGGCAGAGCCTGTTTTGGGCATCAATAACTCTTCATTGTCCACTGCACTGCCAAATCTAAATTAACAGTTTTCATTCCTTAAAATTTTTCTCAACTGTCGCAGTGAATAATATTGAAGATTGGTTATTTGATGGATGATAAGACAACATAATGAAACACTCAATTTGACTGAAAATGTGAAAGGTTTTATTACAGTAAATCCATCCAAATCAACAGCTTTCAAAACGCATGTTAAACATACAAAAACACATCTCACTTAACCTAGTTTATTTTAATTGTATTATTAAATATGTAAAAAGCAGGTCAAGTTATTCACAAATAAAATGCATACATGCAACACGTTTTGGGGAATGCATAATGAGTGGGAAGTCAGAAGAAAAAAACCATTTATAATTATTGACAGCACATGTTTACATTCCTTTTCATTTACACAATATATGACTTAAGCATTATGGTGCACTGCCGAGTTCAATAAGAACAAATGCAACATTAAAAAAAGGTATACAATGTACGTACTTGGAATATAGTATGTCAAATTACTCAGTGAACTGACTCACAACTTTCCCTAAGACATGTGGTTCAAAAATCATATGAAAACATCTGAAATATACCTGACTTCCATTGAATACGAAGGTGGCTAGTTGCTGTTAAAACTAAAGTTGAAAATAATGTTCATTGTGGTCATACTAGTCTACACTAAAATTAGCTCCCTTCCCTTATGATGAAGCCATAATGAATCAACCTTGTTTATGTCACTGAAGCACCAAATCTGGTGCAAATTAGGCATTTTTGAGTACACTGATTAATTTATCAGAATTCTTTGAATTTATAAAGATAGACCAATTTTGACAAGTATGTGACTAACTCACTACTTTTAATTCATGATTCTCATGGACTGTACTGCCTCACTTCATATAGAGGCAATATCAAGTCTTTTCCAAATTATTGTTTTTGTAATTAATTTGTAATTGTGTGAATTGTGAGTCTATGGACATATTGTCCATTCCAGAGTCAAATATCAGTGCAACATATGGAGGAAGGTTAAATATGAGATACTATGGGCCCTTCAGGGTGTTTTCTTATTGCATTCTCATGATTAATATGGTTGATATGTAAAAATGTAAAAGATAAACAATAACTTTGAAACAACGTACATAATGGATGGATCATGGGACCGACCGAAGCTGGCAACATACGTTACACATGCTGACAGATAAAAACACTATCTGTCCACTCCATACTACAATATTTCGTCACATCTAGAATTTTGGATGACTTCTTTTTTTCACCCTTTGTCACTGTCCTTGGAAACTTCTGTGATGTTCTGAGCTTGTCTGCATGTGGCGGTATGTAATAACAGCCACCTGCCCACAGCATTTCACAACAGTCACAATAACACACAGAATGCAGAACGGCAGAGGAATATCTAAAAAAGAAAACGAGGGTCGTGTTTCTTTGCATGAGGTTGCTTCATGTGCTCAGTCTTCAGGAGAACAAAAAATAAACAAACCATGAGGGAACATTTTTTAAAATAAAAAATAAACCAAAAAATAAAACCTGTAACAAAATTCTCACAAAACAAAAGGGCATGGTGTTGTGGTGGGGACGGGGCCGTGGCCAGGGACAAGGACATGGAGTGATGGCAGTCAGTACTCATCCTGCTGATCATCAGGAACATCCTCTTCATGGACCCCTGGATCCACATCCTCTCCATCCACCTCTCCTGCACCTTCCTGAGGGGACACAAGCGGTCATAGCAAAATGTCAGGGCCACAGCCACCATAGGTCTTTTCAGCACCAGCAACCTAAATCAATTAAACGATCAATAATAATAATAATAATAATAATAAGCCATTTAGCAAACAAAGGCCTGTGATTACAAAGAAAATGAGGTCCTTGAACAATTAGCAAAACATTTGCTATCCAATCCAGTACCAACCTTCTAGAATCTTAAACAAATGTTGCACAACAGCAACCCACACCCAATCGCCTCTGGGAAATTCCTATGAATGATCAAATCAATGAAGAGCCAAACAATAACAGCCGACTGACCTGTTCGTCTGCAGAGTACAGAATCTCCATTAGTCGCTCCACGAACTGGGCGCTCTCCTGACCCTGTTCCTGTGCCAGCACCTCAACATCACGCAGCTTTCCAAAGTAAAAGTCCCTCTCCTTCTCCACCCCCTCAAGTGCAAGTTTTAATGTGTTCACCTGTACACAAAATGAGGCAAAGTAGTATTAGTATTGCACAGACAAATTGATAATCCTATAATCTATTTGTTTTACTTCACACACCACAATTGTCTGTGCAATACTGTGTGGAAACTGTTTTGTAAAATGATGTGCAGTATTAATGATTTTCCCATTGTCAATAAAATACAAGATGGTCACAAAGTTGGACAGTGCACCGTCTTAAAAATATAGCTGTAATACGCCGCTGTTCCTCTGATCCTCAACTGCTTATTACTTGGATCATTTTCATGTTTAGGGTTTAACAGTAATCTAATCCTTGTAAAATCAGGATTATGGAATTATCATTCAAGGCAGTTTGTAATTACTTGTTATTTTGGTTTTGCCAAAAACAATACATACACATCCTTCTTACGAATCTTACCAGTGAGTCCAACTTCGATATATTAAGTTGTAATGACGCTGTTGTAGTAACTTACATATATTAAGTTGTAATTATGCTGTAGTAGTGACTTTATACCTGGTCGTTGAGCACTGTGACCTGTGCTTCTAGTTCCCGCTCTCCTTTGGCCGGAGTTGTCGTTGGAGTTGCAACTGGGATTCTTTTAGCTGAAGAGGGTCTGGAGGATGGATGGGGGCTGCAGGGGTTTTGTTTCGGGGTTGTTGCACTCGCCCTGGTGGCTCCTGAACACAAAGATTGTTTACATTTTCTAACCTATCTGGTCATGTCAGGGTGTTCACACTTGGTCCCTTTCAGACAATTTTTGTGAACTCAATGCGGTTTGCTTAATTGTTTGTTCAGTGTGAACACTCCAAAGGTAATCAGACCCCTCAAAAGAGCCCCTGAAGCGAACCGAACTGAGACCATCTCGAGAGTTCTGACACGATGTTCAGATTATTTGTTTGCCATATGTGATCTATAGGCTAAGAAAGCTTCATACGCTGTTTATTCGATTGTGGGGTTTGAATAATATGAGAAGACAACATATTTGGTGAGAATCACAACATTGGGTACAAAATCAAGATACGTGCTATCCGGAATCCTTGGGACGTCCCAACTCTGACGTTACCCCATGGAAGTTGACATTTAAAATAGTTAAGGGTTAAGGAAAGGATTTAGGGTAGGGATGTCCCAAAGATCCCGGATAGCACTAACCATAAAATCAACACTAGCTCTTAAAGGGCCAGTGGCCTACATTGGGTGTACAATTTTAAATTAGTGTTATTTAATCTGCAGTATTCTTCTGCTATTTATTCTGTTACCAATAATATTTACATGTTAAAATCTTCAAATTATAATTATATGTCCCATCTTTTAACTAAATGCAATCTATTAGCTTCCAAAAAGTATATCTAGGTGTCCAATAACATTATCTGATAGAAAGGCTTGTCATGCACTTTGTAAAAACCCTAATAAGTACATTGAGTAAATGTTGGAAAAAGATCTTGGTTCCTTAATAAACATAGCAATGTGAATGGGAAGAGGACTCGGACCAGTGAACTGGCAAAGGAGTTGAGTCCTTATTCAAAGGCAAGGGCAGTGTGAATACAAAAATAACATAGTTCTTTAGCATTTTTCTTTACCCCAGAGTTCACTTTAAAAGACACCTATACGTGAAAACACCCTCAGTCAGTTTCCTAATCTACATAAACAATGTCTGCTGTCCAGATGGGTATCCTACAAAACAGGATCAATGAGTTAGCCAGCTAACTTTGATAAACAACCAGAATTAACAACAAATGTTCTGGTTCATTAAGAAAGCTAAATGTATGTGTTTTTGGTTGAGTCAATTAGAACAAAGCTAATTTCAAGCGCATATTTTTTTTTTTTAAATAAACCGTTATTTCCGAATATTTAGGAAAGTTATCTGGCTAAGTCATTGATCCTGCTTTGTATTATACCCCTCAGGTAGCTGGTCTTACCTGCAGTGGGGGAGCTGGCTGCGTGGTGTTGGGACTTTTTTGGCAGGTTGAAGATCTGCTCACCGGGGTCAGGTGGGGGGATGGCATCCTGACCCTGTCTGGCCTGAAGTGGGTCGTAATCTTTACCGTCATAGTTGGCGTCAAAGAACCTCTTAAACCACTGGATGAAGTCAAGGTTGTCCTGAAATCTGGCTTTCACAAGCTTTTCCACAGGAATAATCTTTAGAGAGGAGAAGAGGAAATAAATTATCAAGAAAAAATTATTGGGGTAATTGTTTAATAATCTGCACTTCACGTGACATGAAAAATGAGAATAAAACAATGTAGGAAAGTTGTGTGTGTGTGTGTGTGTTCTATCGAATATAGCGTAGGCTTGCCAATTCAACTAAAGCCCTATCTAATGGTGAACTGCCATTAGTAGCTACGGTAGGTCCCATCAGGACACTACTCAGCCTCATCTTCTCACCTTGTCCACATTCATTCTCTTGAAGGAGGCCTGCAGCAGCTTGAAGTTGTGAATGTACTCATGCTCGAATTTAGCCTGAAACTTAACCTTCTTAAGATGGACGCAGCCAGGGAATAGCAAATCCATGAACTGGCAGTAGGCCGCTCCTAGAAAGGAATGAAGATGTGTGACACAAAAATTACTGCTTGTTTCTCTTCTGATACAAGTGCAAACTAATGATATTTTTCAGGTATATGCTTCATGGAAGTGTTTCATGGTACTGCCATTAGCAAACCTGTGCACAACACATCCTCTCAATTAAAAGAGACAGACTAGAGACCATGGAACTGACAAGCAGCTTTAACCTCAAATTAGTACCATTAGCACACCTTGCAATAATAAATAATAATAATATGCCATTTAGCAGACGCTTTTATCCAAAGCGACTTACAGTCACGTGTGCATACATTTTTACGTATGGGTGGTCCCGGGAATCGAACCCACTACCCTGGCGTTACAAGCGCCATGCTCTACCAATTGAGCTACAGAGGACCACGTGTGCAATTGGACTGTGTGTGGTTCAAGAGAGATTGGATTACTTGGGGCAGCCATGGCATGGTAGACACAGCAAGTGCGCAAACTAGTTTTATTAATAGCACAGTCCGTCTTCTCTGTCAGAGCAAGGTTAGGTTAGGAGCAAGGTTGGGGTTACACCAGGTTTCTTTGATTATACATGCTACTATACCTATTACAGGGTTATTAGCAGATGTTGTGCGTATCAGAGAGGAAAAGTATGGCCATCTCTCTCTCTCTTCCAATACCTATAGTATCATCCTGAATCTCCCTTCCTATGCTAGGCCTATATCCTGAGGTCCTTGGCTCTGGGAGGAAGAACAGTTTGCAGCACATTAACAGGGTAATTCTTCTTACCTGAGGAGAGCTGCTCCACTTTAGTGTAGTTCAGACCGAGAAGATCGTTAACCCAGGCAGTGATGTCATGCCTGCTCATAGTCTCCTGGGTTATTGAGGTAGAATATACGTTGACCGCCATCCCCCAACTGCAAAAGACAGGAAGGCATATCTCAGACAGTTACAATTAACTTTCTCCAAAACATCACCATCTCAAAATAAGGGAAAACATTTTTATTCCTTTTACATAATGGTTAGCCAACATTCTGTACACACAATTGTTGACCAACAGATAAAACCCCCCATATAATTTTCAACTACTACCATTAAACATAGAGAGATGCAGTAGCAAAGATTAAGCAATGCAGACAACAACAATACAAACCATCAAGGGGTAAACTCACTGATTCGACAGCAAGCCACTAAACCTAGGCCTATAACCACAGCTACTAGATAGTGTACGAAATTAAGCCACACATATCCCATGTTATGTCCAGTAATGTAATAACATGTTAGTAACGCAATTATAAGATACAGGATGTCTGATTTAGCAGAAATGGATACACACTATCAACACGAAACACGCAAATACACTCATAACAGGAGAGGGCTCAAACAGATATGGAAAAGGCATTCAGGAGAGTATTGAATTTGAGCGAAGTTTGAGTATAGTTGTACTACAAAATCTACACGTGATAAGGAGGAGCACATTGCATGAGGATAACAAATTAAAAACGTATCTTCATAATGAAGCTGGCTGTTGTGAGTGTTGATATGTAATCTTCAGAAACATCAATGGAGCAAAGTGAAATGAAAGTGGTGTAAGCTCTCACACTGCAAACAAATAGCATGAATAGTATAATGTGTGAAACTGTTGATCCCCCATAGTGATCACAGTAACTTCAAACATGGTCTTTGACGAGTGTAGCCTACATTATGCAAGAACATTGTAAAGTGCAACAAAATAACGCTTTTCACCGTTTTGGTATTTGGAATTCTTTCATTCTAAATGATGAGGCTGGAGCACATAACGTCAAAATGTAAGACCTGAGTTGTTAATGCAGCATTTCATATTCTCAGATGGGTATCAGAAATAATAACGGGCCTACTAATGTCTAGTGTTCTAATGTCTAGTGTTCTATCGCTCCACCATACCAAACGCAAACACTTAGCTAATGATCTTACATCCCGCTGTCACAGATAACAAGGAGGGCTGGCCAGTTAACGACAAAGGACAATGCATTTCCATTTGATTGAATTATGGTAACAGCTAACGTTAGGCTACAATTACATCAAGCGCGTAATTTATTCGAATGACCCAAATTGACCAAATTTGGACTGGAGTTTCGGTTTCGAACTATCCTCTTTCATTGATTGCGCACTGATAAAAAGGACAGCAGTTCTCGTGTCAACAAAGCGGATGTACTGCTAGCTTTGTTAGCCAGTTAGCTCATTGGCTATACTTGAACCAGACAGAAGAGCTTATCATTTGAACAGACTGGTTTTAAAACCATGTCATATAATACAAGGAATAGCTACGACAGTAACGGTGCCCCTTTTCCCAGAACACACGATTAGGTAGGGTAGGGCCAACAAGAATATTCTAGCAGCTATTTGCAATCATTAACGTTATAGTCAAGACAGTGACCGTGTATTTGACAATGAAGCAAGCGAACGGGGTAGTCTCTTCAACAACGGTCCTATTTCCAACTCGCCACATCATTTGTGCTGTTTATCAATGTAAATGTCAAGTATTTCGCTTTGGCATAATTGTTAACTTGCAGAGGCCTCCTTACAACGATTTACCCCATGGTTAAGAAACAGCGCGTACATGTTGGATTTGATGACAAGTCACCAAGAAGGCAATACATGCACTATGGCACGAGCTGATACATTGTAACATAATCGAAATAGAGCTAGACCGTGGCGTGGAAAACATTCAATGCTCGAGAAACAAATGTTCAGGGTTTTGCAGCAACCTTGTGCTCAAAGCCTTGCTATGAAACCACGCCAAATGCGGCATTTGCACTGATTTACCTGTAGGCGCGCTCTCCTCGCACTGTATTTTTTCTGTAAGGAATGCAGTTGGATCCATCCGTAGGAATGATGTCGTTGTTATTCTCTCCATTTGGGGACAGTGCTTGGGTGGGACCAGGCATTGGGTCTCTAAAATATTGAACAGATTATCTGCTCTCTCTCTATGAAAGGACGATGCGATATAAAGTGACGCACCTCGGGCTCGTTCTCTAGTCTGTTTATTCTTCACAAATCTGTCTCTGGTGACGTCACTGCACCCTAACCAACCACGTGACTGATGGGGTGGCCGTGCGCTTCTTGGCTTCTTGGAAAGTGGACGGCGAATTCCACTAATAGAAACGAAGGGACATAGGGCCCCTTTCTCACTCATACGCGAAATGTTTTGTTTATTTCATGCCTCGGAGTCAATAGCAATAGTTGGACTACTTATAGACATATTTAAATGCCAGGCCTTGATTATAAATGATGCATCTATTGTGCTTCTTGGTTTTATATCTTCTCTCTATTATTTGGGCTAGTGAGAATTATATTGATTGTTGGATTTAATTGACATAAAAATAATACATTGTTATTTTATTGTTGAAATGCAGAAGAATAATGGTGAATCTGTGACAGGGACATATGGGACCAATTCTGAACTGGAACTCTAGTTTATTTTTTATTTTGCATACTGGTAAGCAGTTTCATTAATGTTGCACTGAAAACCCTCTTCCAGTGATGGCTAGTGCTGAGCATTAACCAATTTATTTATTTTCGGTTTTTAAAAACAACTAATTGACTGATGTTGGTTCAATTAGTTAAATTCCATTTTGTTCTTTTTTTTTTCTGTGAGCTCAATGCACCGTTTCTTTAGAGATAAATCAGTAGTAGGTAGTTGTAGTTTCCAACAGGCCAATATTCTACATAGTTTAGTGCAGAAAACGTGGTAATTAACTACAATGACCATAATCCATTGCACGCCTACTTGTCCGGTCTGTGTTTATTTTATGCCTGCTACATTAAGAGGGGCAGACACTAAGAGAAGATGCATGATGGAGAGGGATAGAGAACAGTTGCTTCGCGAGGTATCTCTCCCTGAAAATACATTATCTAAGTACTTGATATTTGGTATTCAGCAGTCATAAAAGTATGCCTTATTTACTTTGAAGAACTAATAAAAGTGTTTTTGTCAGACAGCATAGGCGGCAGCTCTATAGAGATGACTTGCAATAAAATAATAAAGTCATTGAAAATATATGTACTCACTAACTGTAAGTCGCTCTGGATAAGAGCGTCTGCTAAATTACTAAATTGTTAATGAAGTTGTATTGAATAAAACAAATGCAATATGCAGAACTGAAATATTTCAGAAAAGTAATGTGAATAAATGATGGTTAATAAGTGATAAGCAGTAATGGGCAGTCACTACCATCATGGGACTTGTATTAATTGTTTTATTCTGTGTTGTTACAGCATTTAACCCACATAATGCATAGTGCATTTAATGTTTAAAAAAATAATTGAAACCGAAAACCTGATTATTATTATTTTTTAATATAATCGAACCGAAACTGAACTGACCTCAAAAAGCACTCATCGCTCCGCACTATGGCTTGAAAGGATTGCCTTCTAAAGTGCCATGCTGCAATCACAAGTAGCTCTAGTGTAGTGTAGCAGAACAAAAGCCTTTGTTGTTAGCCATACTATAAGGTCACCACTCACCAACCCTGGTCCTGGAGAGCTACTGGGCATATGCTGGCTTCCGTTCCAACCCAGCACTAACTTTGATTCAACTACTGGTAATAAATCGATTAGTTGAATCAGAATACCGGTATATAGGCTACTTGATCAATTAGCTCAACTGAAACTTGTCCTTTTGCTGAGACAGTACCTACCACAACCATAGCCATATATAGAGGGCTGCACTGGCCCCACTAACACACCACATGACAGGCTGTACCCCTACTTCCGCCTAATGGTGCTATTATTCCTTCATTTGTCATGTTGGCGTCCTACTGTAATCTGCCCAGACGGTGATACACTCGTGTCCCCCGGCGACCGGTTCGTTCATAAAACATCCTCCATTCAGGTTGCAAAGGCGTCGGTTACTCGGTTTCCTCCTTAACTCGATTTAATGGTGCGCCTGCCTAAAAACAAAACTGGGAAAATATGCATACACTCTTAATAAAACACCTTTTTCCACCACCATGCTAGTGGCTAATGCCACTTCCTGGTGTTGCGTACACTGTTCAGCCAGGGGTAAACAACAGACTGCTAGAACCTGATTGGCTGAATGCGGTAAACAACATCCGGAAGTAGCATTAACCACTAACATGGTGGTGGAAATTGTGTTAAGACAGAATGCATATTTTCCCCGTTTTTTTTTAGGCTGGTGGCCCATTAAATCGAGTTAAGACATGCCTTGCTCTAGGGCACAACGGTTGTAGGTTGTACCCAAGACAGTGATGCCAGCAACTTCTGGTTGCCAGTTGTCTGATTCCTGTGAATCCCGCAAGATTCTCCCAGTGTCAGACATAGGCTATGATTCCAACAGCAACCCTCAGATTACCGGCCCGCCTCCAAGTCACACTCTCAGGTGTTAGTGCTGGGCTAGAACAAAAGCCTGCATGCCCCGAGTCTCCATGACAGAAACACACTGTTACAGTCATGCAGAATTTATATACCTCGGGGAACAATCAAATAAACTTAATTTATTTATTAAGTCCCTCTTTGCCATGAAAATGAACTTAATCCCAAAAAAACATTTCCACTGCATTTCAGCCCTGCCACAAAAGGATCAGCTGACATCATGTCAGTGATTCTCTCGTTAACACAGGTGAGAGTGTTGACGAGGACAAGGCTGGATATCACTCTTTCATGCTGATTGAGTTAGAATAACAGACTGGAAGCTTTAAAAGGAGGGTGGTGCTTGAAATCATCGTTCTTCCTCTGTTAACCATGGTTATCTGCAAGGAAACACATGCCGTCATCATTGCTTTGCACAAAAAGGGCTTCCCAGGCAAGGATATTGCTGCTAGTAAGATTGCACCTAAATCAACCATTTATCGGATCATCAAGAACTTCAAGGAGAGAGGATCAATTGTTGTGAAGAAGGCTTCAGGGCGCCCAAGAAAGTCCAGCAAGCGCCAGGACCGTCTCCTAAAGTTGATTCAGCTGCGGGATCGGGGCACCACCAGTGCAGAGCTTGCTCAGGAATGGCAGCAGGCAGGTGTGAGTGCATCTGCACGCACAGTGAGGCAAAGACTTTTGGAGGATGGCCTGGTGTCAAGAAGGGCAGCGAGGAAGCCACTTCTCTCCAGGAAAAACATCAGGGACAGACTGATATTCTGCAAAAGGTACAGGGATTGGACTGCTGAGGACTGGGGTAAAGTCATTTTCTCTGATGATTGTTGGGGCATCCGGAAAAAAGCTTGTCCGGAGAAGACAAGGTGAGCGCTACCATCAGTCCTGTGTCATGCCAACAGTAAAGCATCCTGAGACCATTCATGTGTGGGGTTGCATCTCAGCCAAGGGAGTGGGCTCACTCACAAAATCTCAACATATTCATTTTTTTGCAGCTGCTTAGGGGCATCAGCTGTCTTGGACACCTTGCTGGCTGCTACTGAATTACAGTATTGATTTGCACTGTACCATTGTGGTGCCATGCTGTGCAATGTTGTGTTGAACCCGAGCAGCAGTCAGCACATCAGTTCACAAATGAGGAAGTTTCTCTCTGGTGGCTGAGACTTGTCAAAGGACTTCATAGCTGAACATCTTTTTTACAAGCTTTTTCTTGTTTTTTGATATCCACGTTGTTGTAGAGAGCTTTGGCTACAAAGTGAAGTCCCCTTTCTCGCGCGAAGTGGTTCAAATGTGCAATATGTCACATGCGAAAAAGACACACACAGACCAAAGTGAAAGTGGAGTACTGAGTGAAACCTCCTAGCTAGTAGGTGGCTAGCTTTCAAACCAAACATAGTTAGCTAGCTATCTAATCAATGTATACCGGTAGCTAGCACTACAACGGTACACTGGACTAGCCAGCTAGCAATAATTACAAGCCCCCTTTGACAGAACCCGGTAGCCAACATACAGTATTAACCACATTACATCGAGTACAATTCAACAACATACTGATGTGTACAGCCCGCCATACATGTCCTAAAACATGTTCCACAAGTTTGACAAAAAATCACACATTGCAACCGTAGATTTTTGACTCACCAGTGAACTCAGATTTCAGGTTGGTCGGTGTTCAAAAGCTGCTATTTTCCTGAGTCACCCCACCCTCTTTCCACTCGTTGTAGGAGCTGATGACGCCGGCAACTTACACGTTTCATTCGACAAGGAACCAGCGTTGCTGAAGCTGATTGGCTTGATTGTAACATCTGGTGTGATTTCGACCAGTCATAACTTGATGCGTCGGTCTTTGAGTACAACTGACAGCTACTGTAAGTGGGCATTGAAGTTGCCTCTGCACTCTACTTTTTTAGTAACATGATTATGCATTCCTGCATTCCTTTTATTATCACACAATAAACAATATACAATGTATACAGAGAATAATGCAGTATGTCATTGAATTTCTTAATTATATTTTAAATTATGCAACTAGTCCTTCTGTACTTCAAATAAAGGGTTCCACCTTCAAGATTCCTATACCACATTGGATATGATAAGACTTGTTTGCACATGTGCAAAATTAAGCTCTAAGCTCATGTGCTTGTTAAAATGTGTAGTGTGAGGCTAGGAATACCATATTAGATTTATCTCATCATAAATCTCTCTCTTTGGAGAAGCTGTGGTCCAGAGCATAAGGGCCTTCATCCAAATTTAGTAGGAATCTATGCTTTGAGGCTTGTAAGGAATTTGGTTTCTGGCCAAAGAAACATTCACCAGAGCTGACTTGGTCAACTAATTCAATATCATATCAAAATATGTCAAACAAAACAAATGAGATATTCCCACAAGTGTGTGCAAGACATAAGGTCCATAGTTCCTTGGTTGGGATCTTATCTACAAAAATGTGTAAGTTAATAAGCAGACTTGCTAGAGACTTGAGTCAAAGAGCATATTTCATCATTCGGCATTGACTGTGCTTGACTGCAATGACTGGCCTGCATACTGAGCTCCTTGATTTGTATGTAAGAAATTAACAGTTCAGAAGTTCAGATTTCCCTTTAGCATTCCCCTTAGCACACAGCAATTATATAAAGTGGCACTAAAAATATATCTCAGATATTTGGCAAGTCATGATGTTTCATTATCAAAAGTATGTACTCTTGGTGCCAGTTCCCAGGCACAGATTAAGCTCAATGAATCATCTCCATTAAGAATGCGTTTTAGCCTTTTTTTGAATTTGTGTTGGACCAAACAA